TATGTGTGTGCATATGCATATGTATGTATAGAAGTATGTATATATATTCATATATATATATATATGTAGATGTATATATATCGATCTATATCGATCTATATATATTTATATCTGTATGTGTTTGTGTGTGTATAATTGTATACATATATACATAAATATACACACGCACATATATATATATTTAAATATAGTGTAAAACTATCTGAAAACATCGTCTATTTACAGCAAAATAATAATTTGTTTTGTTGCAAATTTATTTATTCATATTATTTGAATGTAAATATTGCGTTTCTGTTCTAAGTTATAGTTTTTCACCTGTATTTAGTGTTTAAAATAATACCAAAGAGCTCCTCCATTATGCCGTTGACCAAGATTTCCATAGTTGTAAATGTGTTATATGCACGTTTGCAAGTTTGCCTTTCAAAATTAAAGCAAATATCAACAGTTTTACAATAGTTTTGCGCTACTCAGGATCCTGTCGAGGTTTTCAATTCATTTTTTTCTTCTAGTCCCCCCCCCTCTATATATATGTATATATATATATAAGGGCTTGTTTCTGTTTGCACAATAAACATGTGTTCATCAATGTAAGCCTACGTCTTGGTGCCGGTAGGTTTATTCAAGCTGTTCCATCATCTCAATGCACCTTGTTTATGCATCAGATTCAGAAGGTTAGGCTCCAGGGTTTACCTTCTCTCGTAAACGGATGCAGATGCCTTGGTTCTACACATAAAAGAAGGTAACTTCGCAACCCCTTCACATTCGCTGAGCCGAGCTGACTCAGAAGAAACTTGCCGTATCAAACTCGCGCTCTTTCAGCGGCGAACCGGTCTTTGCGGCAAAAGCTATGGAGGCCCATTCGTCTACGCCTGCGAGCACAACTGCGGTGAAGCGAGAGATTGCAGATATCACAGCGTCTAATGGAACGAGTGTTGCGGAGGCTACGGATGATAGGTAATTATTGGCTGTCATTTTTGAGCGTATGCATTGGAGGTTCATCCGTATGTGTGTACAGCGACACACATACATCCGTGCTTGTGCTTTCCAGAGCTATCGACAGTGCGTGCATGATAGTATCACCTCAGAGTTCATGGTGTATCTGTGCTATGTAGCAGGAGCCGACATACCTACACGCATGTGACTTTAGTACTGTCGACTTTGCTTGCGCACACGATTACATCCTTTTGCAGCCCCCTGTCGCATTCGCCTGTTATCTTATGGTATGGAAGTGTAGCTACGGTGGCTTTAGTTGCGCGCTCGTTGCGTCGTTGCGGATCACTATTCTACTGTATATGATATTAAATAATGAAGCTAGCTTGCACATTGAAGCAGTTTGCGAGTGTAGGTTTGCATTTTACACAAGGATAGTTTGTGGGGTTCAAATGGCGCTTTGCATTTAGAGTTGTTTATCATTGACGCATCTAGCGATTCATGTGGATACAGAACGGCAGGCGTGATCTCAATTGACAATTCGAAGTTATCTGTCCGGACGGCTATACTGTGATTGTTCGCACACTTCAAATGTAATGAAATTGACACTAGCCATCAACTGACGTTAGCCACATGTGTGTGTATCGAGGTGCCCTAGCTGCTCAAGACATTGTATCGGGTTTCACAAATGTTTTAGCGAGATCGACATTCAGGTAGTTGTTCATGAATATATTTTTAATTAATAATTCGCAGCAAGTCTCGCGCGTCTAGCGGTTTCCTTTTTTGGTTCTGCATTGCGCTAATAAACACGCAGAGGCACGTCCTCTCTACTGGTTCAAGTCATGTGTATTCACGTGACGTTGTCTGCACCCGCTAAACAGTGAGATTCATATGCATGTAAAGTAGAGTGAGGAATGGCGTGTTCAATGCATATATACAGCTTCGGTGTATCGTCAGATGTGCTTATATTATATAACGCCAATGTGCTTATATTGTACAATGCGTAGAGCGTATCGCTTATTGCTGTTGTAAATGAACTTCGTCATGCTGTGCAAGTATTATGACGCTGTTGCCGTCGCTGAATACTTAGCGCATTGTAGACAGGGTTGTTAGGCTGAAGCCGGCGCCCGCGCAGCCATTCTAAACGCCCGAATGGTCAATTTGCCATTGATTGCAAACCGCTTCCTATCGCTATTATATTCATTGGTGACATGAACCTTCATCACCACCTAGACGGTTGACTCTGTAATATGTATATACGCACCCGAATCGCTATACATTCTCTCTTGAGTTTTCTCTCCAATTTATATCAAAAGTAGTCGAATGTGTTAGGTAATTATCTAAACATTTAGTTCTATCATCATATAGCATGTGTTTCGCTGGCTGTTTCAGTGTTCAATACAGCCAGATGTCACAGTTGCTCATTTCGTATCAATTAGTTCGGAGTGCATACGTAGGTTCGTTTAAAGCGTGCCAGTGATGCGTACACACCAAGTCAACAAAAATTAGTAGCTGGCACTGATGATTGTCATGTATACATGCAACTCTCCTGTAACCGTTCATTTCCGCTTTGCTTCTCTACTATATTCCCGCTATTGTCTGTCTTCTGGTTGAGGTCATTCGTCATGTGTTCATACGCTCTACCACCGCGGCAAGTAGTAAAAGTTCATTCTTTGCGATAACTTTAGTTCCGATGCTACGACTGTGACCCTCCAAGTATTTGTTCATTGGATTGCTATAGAGCATATGCATTGGCAATAATCGCAAACCGCTCACTCCCCGCTCGTGTCCCAAAAGCAGGAGCCCTCCCTCTAAACGGCCCAGGACAGACGACAGCGGAACAGAGGCACGCGGACCCCTTCTGAAGAGTGAACCACTTACCAACGGCCAGGGCACAGGTACCGGCAACCCCGGGGACGACGATGACTACGGCTTGGATTTGTCCGAAGATGAATCCCACGAGAAGGACAAGGAGAATGCCCATAGAAAGAATCATAGTGGCAATAGTAAGGGCGTGAACGGGGGGGTTGCGGAGATTGTGGATGCCAAGGTGGGGGACAAGGACGAGAAGGCGGATATAAAGGACGGCGAGAAGCCGGTCGATACGGAGGCGAGTGTGAAAGACGAGACGGTGGAGCCGCAACACGCGCAGGACGATAAGTCGGACGCTATCACAGACACGCCAATTGAGGCGAATGAGGAGATGGCGGACGATAGAGATCGGAGCGATCGTGTCTCGCATGCGAACGAAAACGGCGACAACGAAAATGAGAATGAGAACGAGGAGGACGCGCAACGAAGTGTGAGTGAGAGCAGTGAGGTAGTGGGAAGCGCAGGTGTGCACAAGTCGCAGGAGATGGAGACTCAGGGAGAGGAACCGGAAGGTGGAGAAGATGCAGAGATATACGGAGACGGAGATGAGCACACGGCCAATGGCGTGTCTAGTGCGGCTCCATCCGAAAGTCACATGTCTGATGGAAACCTTTCGGATGTGCACACTGACGCGCGGTCGGATGTACAACCGAGTATGGAACCCGACCACTTTGATGAGGACGGCGATATCGATGTGAAGGAGCTAAGGTTCAAGAGTCTGGATGGCATCATGCGCACATTGTGGAAGAATGGGGACGCTTGGCCGTTCCATTTGCCCGTGGACGATGTGGCGCTGAAGATCCCGGACTACTATAAGATCATTACCAGGCCAATGGATATGACGCAGATAAGCAATGTAGGTGGCTTGTTGGGGCGATCTAAAAGTTGTTGGTCACAGGACGCTTGCTTTGATGACTGTGTATAGTGTGAGCTGTATGTTCCCGATGATATATTTATTAATATATTAATATACCTATACATCCCTATATATATATATGTCTTGAACACGCATAAAATTATATACCTATACTTAGATATAAATACATTTTTACATATATATATATGTTATATGATATGTAAATCTATGTGTTAATCTATGGTATATCTATGTGTACATGTATATATATATGTATATAATTATATATATATATAAATTTAAGGTATATACTTATATTTATATGTATTACTCTATATTTATATATTTATATATCTTGTATCATATATATAAATTGATATATGTATGTATGTATGTATCTACCCATGTATATATACACACGCATATATATAGATATAGATATGTGTATATATGATATATATATATATATATGTAAATGCATATATATTTGGATTTGGATTGGGATACACATATATTTGATGTATTTCAAATTCATATATCTATATCCATATCCATATCTATTTAAAAATACATACATATCCAAACACACATATATATATATATATGTGTGTGTGTGTATGTGTATGTTATTTTTTTAATATTTTTTTTATACACACACACATATATATATTTATATTTATATTATAAATGTATCCAAATCCATGTATATATATGGATATATCTATATATCAACCCCGTGCGCCGGGTAGCGTAGTGTATTGGAAAAAACCGTTACTATGCCGAGATTCGCTACGCATGAACACGCACAAACTCGTATTTTGTCGATGTTACTGTTTATTTTGGGTTCGCGAGTTGTACCAAGTTGTTGCAGCGACCTTTACTTTTCTCCCTTTGCTCGCAATAATCGGATTCACGCTACATCGTTTATGCGGTTTGATGGATTGCGTACTCCTATCGCTCCCGTTCCGGACCAGAAAGTTTGCAACTATAACTGTTTTACTAATTATGCAGTTTGCACATCCGTCTTAATCTACAGAAACTCAAGGAACGAATATACGAAAGCGTAGACGCATTTCAGGACGATTTCGAACTGATGTTTCGAAACTGCCGGATGTACAACAAACCCGAAAGTGATATCGCGCGCATGGTGGGCAACTTAGAGACTGCGTTCCACAAGCAGATGGATAAGATGCCGAGTGATGCAGATCTCATTGCCAAGCATCGGGTGAAATTGGAGAAGAAAAACACCAAACGAGCGGTCAAGAAAGCCACCAAGACCCGTACCAAAGGTGCAGCGAGAGCGTTAACGGGTAAAGCCCCGGGTGCGGGTGCCGGGTTGACGGCGAATAAGATATCGGTGATGAAGCTCAAGGAGAGGCAAACAGATAATACGGCGGGACGTGGGGCAAATACTTCTTTGCCTATGTCGCGCACACAGTCAGTCGATTCGTTTGGGGTGCGCAGGACGTCACGGATGTCTCTGGGGGGGATAGAGCCGGCGAGCGACATAAACCTGTACGAGCGAGCGCTGGACAACAGGCCTGCAAGGGATAGAAGGGCGGTGGTGCCGTTAGTAGCGGAGATGGAGATCAATTTACGGCACAAGCTTACGGTGCAATTGAAATACTGTGGGAAGATTCTTACCGAGTTCCTGCATAAGAAATACTACCCCCGAGCGTGGCCGTTTGTGGTGCCCGTTGACCCGGAACTCTTAATGCTCCCGGACTACTTCAAGATTATCAAGAAACCCATGGACTTGAGCACGATGCAAAAAAAATATGATAACAGGGAATATGCATCGGCTGAGGTATATATATATATGATTTTTATTATTATTATTATTATATATTATATAATTTATATATATATATATATATATATTCTGCTATGCAGCACACATGGCTATTTGTATGAAAAACCCTGCGCACATGTGTGTTTTTGTCTATGAAATTAGGTCGCATAGCGTTGGGAAAAAGTCACATTAGATGTAAATCGACCGGCTTGCCCCATATGCATGAATCCGTACTTCGTCTCGAGATTAGGTTTCGTACGTAAAATTTTGTGGGTTACAATTGTATATGCATGCTACCCTGATATGCGTGTTGCGTGGTGTGGTGTATACGACGAGGATGGTATTTTATCCTACGCATTACTCTGCGCGTGTCTATAATATACCAGGGGATTGCTATTTTACTTTGTATATTGTAGCTAGTTTTTATATTCGTTTGCTTACGCAAATATTTTCGAATAACTGGGCGTACGTACTTTCCTCGAGACTCACTATCTATCTTGTGAACCCGACAATGCACAGGATTTTGCTAACGACATGCGGCTCATGTTTGCCAACTGCTACCGGTACAACAAGCCCGGTCAGGATGTATATGAACTGGGCAAGAAGCTCAGCGTTGATTTTGAGCAACGCTTTGCGCGGAAACCGGACGAGCCCATCGCCCCACCGAAGACGAGAAATAAACTAAAACACGCACAAGGCACATCCCACTCAGTGGGTGGGGGTGCGACGCATAGGCAACGACAGGAATATTACGAGGACGAATTCGAAGAAGACGAAGACGAAGCGGAAGAGGCGCCGTTCAGGACTCAGGCGGAACTGGACCACGTGGAACAGCTCAGGAAAATGCAGGAGATGGTGGCGACGCTGCAGTCGAATATCGAGGCGCTGACGCGCACAACCAATAAACAGGCCTCGTCTACAGGCAGTCGCAGGAGTGGCCCTGCTACCGGTACGGCGGCCAGGAAGGGCAAACAGGCGGCGCCATCAAGGAAGAGCACGAGCACGAATAACAGTAAGGTTACCAATACACACCACGCACCCGCGGCTATGAAACGCGCCCCGCTGCCCAAGCCACAACCACCGGCCGTGCAGGGAAAGCCCAAAGAGGATACCAAACCCATGACGTTCATGGAGAAGAAAACGTTGAGCTTGAACATCAATCGCCTGCCTGGTACGATTAAGTTGTTCATGCTAATATGTTGTTTTGTGACTTGGTATTGATATCTTAAGAGTGGTACAGTGTTTCTGGCGGATGACTATTGGTGATCCTGGTCTATTATTTTGTGAATGGCCATGCTTCGCCTGTTTGCGTTCTGGGGTGTGCGGCTGAAGCTACGGGTGGCGTGTGTGCGGGTCTGTCGACATGGTAACCAGAAGGTATATCGTGTTGGTTTAGGATTCTCAGACTTCTGTGACTCATTCTCATGTTTGCCTATTGCCAATTTTGTCAGGTAATTGTGTGTGTGTTTGTTATAGCGTCTATATCAATTTTTAGCAGTCACGGTTCAGGATCTGTTCTTCTTTGCGCCGGCTGGAAAGTGCGCATATAAACATGAATATGCCGTTTATCTGTGCATATACCGCTTTGATGGACTGAGTCCCTGCTGCCTGCGTGCTATATATTCTGTGCCGTAGCTGGCCTATCCCGTCTATTTTATCGTGTTTTTTTTCAGTGTTCTTCGGTCATCGGCAGAAGTTTTCTCTGAGCAGGGCCACCATAAACGTGTCGCTATATGCTCGGCACTAACCCACCGTCCACCTTGCGCTATTACACCACCCCACAGGAAGCCGCATTGCCAAGCTTGTAAGCATCATACAGACTTGTATACCCGAGCTCGCCAACTGCCCGGCGGAGGAGCTCGAGATAGACATTGACTCGCTTGATCCCCTCACTCTGCGTGAGTTGGAGAAGTACGTCAACAGCGCCATGGCCGAGCCCTCACAGCCGCCCAAGAAACCCGCGGCTAAGCGAGCACCCGCACGTCGTAAAGCAATCCCCAAGAAACAGGCCCAGGCCTCTGGGTCAGGGTCGCAAGCCCGCGGTAATGGCGGGGCCCATCCACCTGCGTCTCGGGGTGCCGGTAGTGGGTATCTGAGCGAATCTCAGCGTATGCGCAGAGGAGGGTCGAGCTCTAGTTCTAGTTCGGATTCTTCCAGCGGGAGCTCGTCTAGCGATAGCTCGGGCAGTGATAGTGAGAGTGAAGCGGAAGTGACTACATCGTCGAGAAGCCGTGGGACCGGTGGCAAGGGTGGATCAAGGTGAGAAATTATATATATATGTGTGTTTGTGTTTATGTTTGTGTTTCTAATATTAGATGCAAATTCTCTCAAAAGTACAAACTCATACTAGATTATTATGTTGTTGTTATTATTATATATTTATCTAATGTTATATATATATTTATCTAATGTTATTTATATATATATATATATAATTATTGAGAATTTGAGCTACCTTACAAATACATCTCTGCATGTCGATCATCTATTGAGATTTGTAGTAGCGTATGGAGTGTTAAATCATTCATCCGTTTCCAACAAAGCGTGAGCGTGTGTTGTTCAATTTTGGATTATTATTGCATATTTGTCGCGGTCTCATTTACTGTGCCTTTGCTGCGAAAGTCAGCCAAAATTCGTATACTGAACCACCCACTTAGACCCGAATACAATCATACATATTTGTGTGCCGTACCCCCGCCTACCGTACGCTGATACATCGTCACCCTTGTTCTGCAATGCCATACCAACCCACAGACCTTCATCGGCCACAGGTACTAAGAGTGGTTCGTTAGGGGCTCCGCAACGGCGTGCGTCCGCCGCCTCTGCGAGTTCGATGACCAAGCCTGCTACCAGTAACACATCGCCTGCACCGGGCATCAATGCAGGTATACAGCTGGCACCTGGGCCCCCGCCTAAGCCCAAGGAGAGCAAGCTGCTGCTCGGCGAAGCAGCCCGTACGAGCCAGGCTCCACGTACAAATGCTCTCAAGATGGTACCCAGTGCGAGTAAGGCCCATGGCGTCAAGCCTGGCAGCAAGCCGGCGATCAAGGTGGGCAACGTGAACGCGTGGTCGTCCCTAGCAACGGGGGGCGGTGGGGTTGCTAGCAGTGGCAACACGCCTAGAGGTACGTCCCCGGCCACAGGGAACTCGCCCGCGTCTCGTATTGGCAACTCAGTCTCACCGGCGGATGGTAGTGGTGACCGGTTGAATGAGTACCGTAAGAAGGCGCTGCTCAAGTCGACCCAGGAGAAGCTGGGCGGCGGGGAGTTGGGGGGTATGAGTGTCAAATCAGGTACTAACATGGCCTTGTCACGCAATGGATCCATGAGCTCGGTTGGTGTGTCTGGGCGAAGCCCCATATCGCATTCAGGCCAAAATACGAATACGACTACGAAACATAGCGGGAGTGCCGACGAGTCTGATAGTGCTGGCCCGGGCAGAGATGAGGCGGTGGCGGACGACCAGGACGATCGGGCCAAGCGACGGGAAGAGGAAAGGCGTAGGCGAGCGCAAGAAGCCAATCAAGAACAGAGCACGGCAGCCCACGACGCCATCAGTGGGGAGGCGCTCGAAGAGTCGTTGTTCATGTTCGGATAGGTCTCGGCAACACGTGATGGTGCATCGCCTGCCATGGTCTGGCACACATAGGACTTTGTGTGCAACTGTGGATAATACTATGCTTGTAGTTCATTTGCATACTAGATGGGAGCGGAGAAATTATGTGCCGGCATTCAGTGCGATCGTGTCCATGGATCGCACTTATCTATGGCCGATCGAGTTTAACGCGGAAAGGAGGGGTGCTCGGTATTGTCTGCGATTGAATCTGTGGGCGTGGGCGTAGGCGGAGCCACACACTGAACTCAGGCTCAGAGTCACGTTCATTCGAGTGGCTGTCTCTAAGAAGGGGATCTCGAGGCTTCGCTCTGAATGCGCACTATACAAAATAGTTGTGTTGGGCATATGGACCGGCATGATGACAATGGGCCTATACATCGCGAGTCGGCATATAGTACGGCCGGACTGCTTGGCAGATGGATCGTGCTGCATATCTATCTGTACATATTATTAAGAGATATACACACGTTTGCATCGCCGGCATCGACCGACTGTACACAACACCCACCCTCGCACTATATGCGAGTGGTGAATGGCCGTCTTCGCCGCATTCGTGTATGCTGCCGATTGGCCGATGGGTCGGATTGTTGCGCGTATGCTGTTGTCCAAACTCTCTCGGTTTCGCTGCACAACGAGATGTATTACAATAAATTCAAATCCCTGAACCCGCTTGTATTTTGTGATCAGTGTGTGGGTACATATGAGTGACATGATAATTTACTTGCTCGATCGCCTTTTGGGTTCAGCCAGCGCTCCGCATGCATACTAGCTTGCAAGTTTACCGTTTGAATTGAAGATGCAGCATATTCCTTCTTCCCGACGCTAAATTTGCTCGATCGCCTTTTGGGTTCAGTCAGCGCTCCGCATGCAATACTGGCTTCCAAGTTTACCGTTTGAGTTGAAGATGCAGCACATTCCTTCTTCCCGACGTTAAATTTCACTTTGTTTTTATGTTGTGCCAACATCAACGCGTCTGTGATGATAAACGAGTAGTCAGTCCTGCACCTTTTTTGTATCATACCGCAAAACAAACGAAACTCATGACAACGGAGCATCAGTTGTTCCTGTGTGACCCACTAACTTAACTTACACGTGATTAGTGAAGTCAACCTAAACCATAGATCACATAGATAACGACCGGCGAGTGAGAGGGCCCGCCGTGTATCTCCATTCGAAGTGTGAACAAGATCGATTGTACACCTACTCTAGGCGAGCTATGAGTATATAGCTTTGCGTAACCCCCTTCGGACAATAAATCAAGTCTATATCGTTGTCCCTTTCCGCGTGTGTGAATTCCTTCGATAATCATCTGACCGCGATATCTACTTGCCTGGTGACTCTTTTGGTTTGTTTGCAATCATGCATGAAGATTTTCAGGTCAACGACTCTTTTGGTTTGTTTGCAATCATGCATGAAGATTTTCAGGTCAACGACAATACGCAATATATAAATGCCCGCGTTTGATATACTATATGGTTTCGTGTGCGAACATTGTTATCTGGGCGAGCCGTGGTCAAAATTAGTCTTTGATTTTATGTATTGAACTTGACTAGTATTTACATATTTACATATTTACATATACATATACTTATACATATATATACACACTTATATATATATATATATATATATATATATATATATATATATATATATATATATATATATATATATATATATATATATATATATATATATATATATATATATATATATATATATATATAATATATA